AACACACCAATGAAACTGCTAAACTATAAAAACTTACTTTTCATTTCTTAGCAGGGTGTGTTTCTATTTTTTATGTTTGCTAGTTTCATGGGAATCTAATTCTTTACCACAGCATATAGTTGGATGATTCATAGAGAGTACAATTTCCTAAGACTTGACATTTACTAAGTGTTTGTGTCAGGATGTGGAGTGTAAGTATTAAAGATGGAAAGGTCACATTGTAGAAGACCATCACATAGAAAATGATGCCTAACTATGAAGTTTATCACAATAATAAAAGTGGGGAAACTAAATCCCATTGATGGATGAACACACAAAGAATATGTAGTATATTTATTCAAAGGACTATTCTTCAGCAATTACAAAAAGAAGTAAGGCTATAGTTACGTCATGGAAAAGCTTAGAGGATGTTATATAGGGGGTCTTAAACAGTCAAAGAAAGACAAATATGGCATGTTCCACTTATTTGAGGCATCTTCAATAGTTGAACCCATAGAAGCAGAGAGAAGAATGGTTGTTAGTGGCTGTGGTTAGCATATGATGAAGACCATGTTTAAGTGTCGATTTCAATTGTACAAGAGGAGCAAGTTCTGTTGAGCATCATCCCTACAGTGCACCTAAAAGTTGTCAAGAGGTTAGATCTCATGCTATAAGGGCTTGATCAAATTAAAAAAAAATCACAGCTTTATGCTGTCCTTTGACAAAGTACTGTCAGACTATTCGCTCTCTTGAAGCAAACCGTTAGTCTGATTAAATAAATGTGTCTGAAATACACTTGATGAAATAACCTCGTAAACTTATAGCTACCAAAAAGGGCTGTTGAAAATAATTCATTTTCCACTCAGGTGCACACTTTGGAAAGATGCTTAAAGACGCATCTAGTAAATGGCAGGAATTTCTACATAGCAGATACTATACCACAATCCCTACATACATCATCTCACTCAACCCTCACAGCATCTCTCAGAGATGAGGGCTATTATTAGCCTCCTTTTATAGTTGAGAACATGAGGCGCAGCCAAGGTTAATAGCTGTACATGAGGTTTGGTGATAATCACATCCTGAAAGAGGTGACTGTGCAATTGCTGAACTACAGGTGTTTCCAAATTTCACACCAACAGAGTCCCTATCCCCACCTCCAATCAATGTGAGGTCTCATAGCTCATGTTATACTTGTCATTTCAGTAACATCACACAGTTAACTGTCTCTTTTCCTTCATGTTTTCCTTTCTCGGCAGCCAGCAATGCCACACATTTTTCTGGATTTCTTTTTCCTTATCAGGACACTGATTTCAATCTCCACAGCTGGTTTTGCTTTCCTAATGTTGGTATTTCCTTAGTCTTAAACCTTGGCCTCTCTCACTTCTATATTCTAATTTTTCTGTTGACCTCACTTAGTCTCAAAGCTACAAAGGCCATCCATAAGTTGATGATAGCTTGTATTTCCAACCTGGCTCAGGACACTCTGCTTCTCCTCAGGAATGTCTAAGAGACACCTCAGATTTTTCATATTCCCTACTCTAACCCTAATACTTGCCCCAAACTGCCTCTCTCCCCACAACCAATGGGAATCAACGGATGGTAATTCTATCTCCCTAATGGAATCAACCTTGACTTCTCTTTCTCTCACATCTCCCTCACACAAGCTGTCAGAAAATCCTGTTTGCTCTACTTAGTAAATATTTGATGAATTAACAAAATGTGCCAAGATTTTAAAATCTTAATTTTGGAGTCAGGCTGATACTCTGTATAATTTAGCCTACTATTTCAGGTCAACCTGGAGAGTCACAAAAGCATGGAAATGGAAATCTGTCAAACTTAGATTTTCAAATATAATACAGCCATTCTGAGGATATGTTAGATGAGTTAAGCAGTTATAAATATTCCTATGACTTCTCCTGACTCCTGGAGTGACAGGTGAGCCCGTAGTTTCCCCCTATTTCAGGCCCATCTGTAAAGTCTCAGGTTGATTTTGCTCCCTCAGCCCTTGCTGGGATTCCCCTATGTATATCTACCTTAATCCCCATTGGATCATGGCCTGTGTCTTGTTTTCCATGACTGCCCATTTCATAATGACCACTAGCCTAGAGGACATGCCTTGTGGTCACTGAGTTTATATTCTGACTTACTCCCTGCCAGCTGAATGCTGTGAATAGACTTGTTTTGGTGCCTCAGTTCCCTTCTCTTTAAAATAGAGATGGTAATCACAATTCCTACCTCATGGGGAGTATGGAAATTTTGAATGTAATTTTACATAATACATTCATTATATACAATGTGTATATAATATACAACATCTAACAAAATATATAATATATATTGTATAAACTATATATACAGCTAAGTGTATATATAGTATGTATACATTGAAACAATACCTGCATATAGTAAAATGTATGCTATTGTCTTTATCAGCTGCCATTATTATTGTTGTTGTTTACTTATTTCATTAGGGTTCTCAGAAGATTTTACCTTAATTACAAAATTCTCTACCAAATGAATTTTACAACTTATGGTTTGCTGATGCAGGTAGTATTTTAAGAGATAATAAAACATCCACTTTTCTTTTAACCTACAAATTATCCATGTTTAAGTTTTCTCCATTATGGGCAAGTGATAGAGATCTAGTGTCAATCAGATATCTGTTTTCTACATTAAAAAAACTCTCTCTCTAGAGTATATTCTGGATGATATGTCATACCTCAGCTGTAGGAAATAGTGGTATACAAACTTTTTATTTTGGTACAAGTACTTTTTATACTATCAGTAGTACTGCTGTGTTATAATCATATCTTTTTTAGTGGCTGTTGTTTACTGAGTGTTTGCTCTGTCTTGGGTAGCTGACATCTAATAGCTTTATAGTCTTGCTAGAAATGAAGGATTAATGAATATCTCATTTCATGGTTTAGGCTCACAGAGAACTTACTGTGAAGGGCACATCACACAGCCAGTGAATGAGCCTGAATTAAAATCTGTAGTTTATCCTTAAAGCTTACTCTCTTGTATTATTTAGTGGAGAAGCTGATAAGAAGGCCATATGTCTCTTTGAAACAGATAATGTCAAAAGAATGATGCTATGGTAGAAAAGCGTTTGATCAGTGTACTATCTGCAGAGCTGAACTGGATAAGTTTCAGTGAAACTGAATAGTGAGCCCCAAAGGCACAATCTGCTTAAAATTAAGATAAATGTCTTCTACCCAATCATATTAGAATTGACAATTATTTGAAAAGATCTCACACCTTTAAACAAAGAGCCTCTAGCAACCAGAAGGTCTTATAGGAAACCTAGAAGTTTTATGACCTCTTGAAAACCTGAAAGTAATTTAAGTATTGAATTGGTTTCAGTTTCGGATGCGATTATTCATACAATAAGGGCTTTCAATAAATATTTTGAAGAAAGAAACTTGCAGAACACAAATTCTGGACAAAAGATCTGTGTGTATTTATTTCATGTAAAAGAGATTTTAAAAACTTGCTGACTAATTTGGTTATGTTTAAAATTATAAGATGGTTTCGTTCTCCTTTCCCTTCATGTCTGGAAACTAATGAAGCAGGAGGTTACATAAGTCGCCCAAACCAAAGGAGTTAGGGTCTCTACCATACATATAGAAGAAGAGATTGGAAAACAGAAGGTACCAGCGGGTAGTCTGAGGACTGAGAGGCTGTAGTATCTGCAGACTTTTGTCTCGCTTGAGAAGGAGGTGTCTTTGGAGTCTCTGGAGAAAGCTCAGGTAGCTGTCTGTGGCTTTCAGGATTGTGTCCTGAGTGGGGAGCTATCTGAATGGATAGAGATGCTGTGTGTATCTCAGGCACTGAGGTAGAGGGCGGTAAGCAAGGATCATTGGGAAAGAATGACCCTTCAACAGGTTTGGGAAATTGTGGAATACTAAAGGGAATGCTACTTCCTACATCCTGGTTATGGGTTAGTTTCAAGGCAGAAATTCTCCGAGTTTGAGAATCTTGCATGTATTCCTCCTGGAGATACGGGGTATTTTCAGTTGCCGGTATAGGATCTACTGGTCGTGGACTAGTGATTTTTTGTGTATATGACACAGTGGTGTTGGATTCTTCTGAATATATGATTGTCTGGCTAGAATCTTCATTAGAAGGCATGGTTCCCTGAAGAGGTTTTTGGTTCGTAAGGTACTCTGTACAGGAGGGTGTTTGTGCATTAGTTACGAATGAGTCTAAGATGTCACCCTTTGTATGACTGGTTAGCAAGGACCTACAAAAACTCTCTTTTCTGATTGGTAGGAAGGGTTCCTAGATGGTCAAAAGTGTCCAGAAAATATGTTGAAGGAAAAATGGAGAGAAAGTCAAAGTTAGTCATGGAAGAAACCAGTGCCAATGGTATACTTAAAGGTAAAGCAATGTTATAGTTTCATATTTTGCTATGTATTAAGCTGGCTGCATTTCCTTTCCTTTCCCATTAAGAATGCATTTTAACTTAATAGCAATAGTTACCCTTTCAGGAAAAAGTTTGTTTTATTTTAGAATATACTATAAACTTTGGCTCCACTCACCTCCTGGGAAATGATTTAATATATTTTCTTGGAGCTTATGGTTTATTTACATTATTTTTATAACAATTTTTCCTGAGTGAGGCACAGTGTAACTCATATCTCCAACCCAGAGAGTCCCATTAATTAACATCCTAACCGTTATATAAGACATAGCTATTGAATGCACAATATAGTTATTGCTGGCTTTGTACTCCAAAGCATTAGTTGTCAGCTTTTTAAGAATTAGAACAGATTCTAAATATTATGCTGAAAACTGACCACTTTCTGAGCTTAATTGGGGGAGAAAAAGCCCAAACAACAGAAGAACACCATTTCAATATTCGAAATCCAAATCTGGCCAACAACAACAAAATAAAAAAGCAAAAATATATTTAAAAGAAAACACTAAGAAAGACATTGCTGAGAAAGAATCTCCAAAGCAGTAGTTTAATAACCAGGCTTTCAAATCACACAGTAGACACAAGCATGTAGGATTACCTGGGTTGGTGATCTTTTATCTTGTAGGTTTGGACGAACGCTTCTAAAGCCTTTGGCTGCAAGAGAGGAATATGTACCATCTCCATTCAGTGCCTCTGGGTTTCCATCATTGTAAGCTCTCCAAGCTTTTATTAAGGAAAAACAAATTGGACACACACACAAAAAATCTACATTCACTTCAACATTTATAAAGAAAATTAAATTTTCAAAAGACAAAGTTTTCTCACTAAAATTTAATGTAATATGCCTCACAATGTTTGAAACTTGAGTTTCATATGAGATCAATGTGTGATGGTGAATACAGCAAAAAAAATCTTCACAATAAATGCAATAGTTATTCAGAATATCTTTTCTGTACCTGAGTCTGGAGACTGAGAATCTCGCCCTGAAAAAACAAAAGCAGTTGAAATTAACATAAGGGAAAAACAAATGACACTGCAGTAAAAGTACTTGGCAAAGGGCCACATGTACTGTTTGTGGAGATGCTATCTCAGTTCTAAAACCCGGTACATTAAATATATTAATGAGAGGTTTGTGCCCTAGCTTTGACTTCAGTGAGGGTATCATTTGTTAAATACCTATAGCATGTAATTAACTCATGTATCAAACACTATTTTCCCCCTCAATAATATTGCAACCATGTAATTTTAAGCTTATTCTTACCCAAGGTGAATACATGAATTTCTGAATATAAAATTAAAGGATTAAAAAGGAACTTGGTTTGTAAACAATGGATGTTCTTATAACATTATGTTACTAACTATACTTAATTCCAGTGTTAGAGTCTTTTAGTTTGTACTTTATCTTTTCACAAGGGAAAAAATGTGTCTACTACATTATATGGTATTTCCAAACTACTTTCTAGACTTTTAGGATTGCTTGTCATCTTTTAAAAGTCATTTTTTTTTTGGTGTCAGTCATGGGACCTGAACTCTGAGCCTGCACGCTGTCCTTCAGCTCTTCAGCTCAAGGCTAGTGCTCTACCACTTGAGCCTGCTTATGTGGTACTGAGGAATTGAACCCAGGGCCTCATGCATGCAAGGCAAGCACTCTACCACTGAGCCACCTTCCCAGCCCTCACAAGCCATTTTTACTCAAACATGAAAGAGCTGAAATCTAGTTGCATATGGAAAAGAAATTCCGTTTGGTAATGTGGTTAGGAATTGCCTCATCATATATTAATGATCAGTTTTATTAAGATTGTAGATTTAAGAGTCATCTATAGGCCCTTTTGAGGTAATCCCTTTATATTTCTGAGTTCTGTTATATCATCTGACTCACTTCATGTAGATGTAGATAGCCTCAAATTTGGAAAGAATTGTAGGAGTCATTTAGATTAATGCCCTGGCTTCCTTTATGTATTCCTTGGGACCATTTAAAAATTGCTATTATTTCAATCATTCTTTGTTTTCCTTCTAATGCTTCTCTAATAATGATTTTGAAATTCAAACACATAAATCTGGAATCATAAAAATGGGTAAAGAGGCTGCCGCCATTGTGCCAGCCCCTCGGGTCTCAGCGAGGCTGGGTGACTCCAGGATGGGAGACAAACCAATTTGGGAGCAGATAGGATCCAGCTTCATTCAACCTTACTACCAGTTATTTGATGACAGAACCCAACTAGGCGCAATTTGTGTCGATGCATCATGCCTTACATGGGAAGGACAGTTCCAGGGAAAAGCTGCCATTGTGGAGTAGTTGTCTAGCCTTCCGTTCCAGAAAATCCAGCACAGTATCACGGCACAGGATCATCAACCCAGGCCAGAGAGCTGTATCCTCAGTATGGTTGTGGGGCAGCTCAAGGCTGATGAAGACCCCATCATGGGGTTCCACCAGATGTTTCTATTAAAGAACATCGACGATGCTTGGGTTTGCACCAATGACATGTTCAGGCTTGCCTTGCACAACTTTGGCTGACCTCCTCCTGACCACTTACTCACTCTGTTTTCTCCTCCCTCCTTTTTCTGATACTATCACACTCCTCCAGATGCTCCACTTATCACACACAAACAAGCAGGGCCAAAGTGGGAGTAGGTGCAGTGCTCTACCCCCTCACCAAGGTGTTGTGCATGATGTTTGGATGTTAGATTAGTTGCATCTGACAGGAGACGTTTGTGTTCTACTAGCGCATGCCTTGGAAAGCCTTAGTTGTCTTTTTTTTTTTAATCTACTGACAAGATGTTTTGTAACCCAAAGAAGTGAAGGAGAAAGCAGCTGTCTCACCGCCGATACTGATTTGTTCAGATGTTTCAAATGCCTCATGATACAATAAAACCACAAAAATTTTCTTAACAAAAAAAATGAGTAAAGAAATACAAGTGTTAAAGTATTTGCCTACTTATTTTCTTTTCATTATTGGAGTTTGAACTCAGCCTTGAGCTTGTTAGACAAGCGTAAATTACACATCTACTCTTTTGCTTTTAGGGCACCAGGCTAATTTTTCCTGGGCTGACCTTGAAATGTGATTTTCCTATCCTTACTTCCTAAGCAGCTGGAATTACAGGTGTATACCTCTAAACAAAGCTCCAAATGTTCAATTTTAGATAAAATATTTGAGACTTTTTTTCCAATCAAAGAAATAAAAAAATACACGCAAATCAGTACTGAGCACCTTACCATGACTTCAGCTCAGGTGACTAACAAATTCTCATTGTTTATTATACCTGATAACTTTATTATATGAGAATTAGGAGTCTATAAAGCAATTAGACAGTATTAAATAATGTAGAGCATTATTAGAATTCTGCTCTTGGGCACTCAAGAGGAGAGATTTAATGACTGCTCAGGTACCACACAGTGTGGACAAAAAAACAAATATGGAGGCTGAAGAAAGGGAAACCAAAAGGACAGCATTAATACTTATTATTTATAATTACTTGCTTGAGAATAGAAAGTCTATTTTAATCTCAGAGAATAATAAAATTCTCACAGAGGCAGGAAAATGGAAAATTCCATTTTCCCCCCTAAGGAAGGAAACTTGAGACACAAACCACAAGTTTCCTTAAGGGTATGAGCCAGGCCAGTGGTAGTGTCAGGACCCTGTCCCTCACAGTGGCCTTGTCACCATGTGAGATATAGCACCCTTACCAACACTATCTGACTGTCATATTTTTTTGTGAGATGAAATGTACTCCAATTGTTCATCTAACGGTTCTTGTTTTGGTTCTTCATAGTTTTGGCATATTGGTCTGTGTTATGATGAATTATCTAGTGGATACAACGTCTTATAAACGGAAGTAAGAGGACAAGACTGGCCCCCCAGTGGACTTTCTAGTAGGCAAGGGAAAACAGAAGGCTTGGAACCTTTTCTGGAGGGAGTCTAACACCTATATACAGTCTGTTGTATGTCAGCCATATCAACGTTGATAAATATTTATTAATTCCCTTTCAACTAACATTGAAATCTGGCTAAATAAGTTGTGATAAAAGTGACTATGAGAAGTGGCACTGTGGATCAAAGTGGTAGAGCACTAGCATAAAGAGCTCAAGGCCCCATGATTGACAATAATAATAATAATAATAATGATAATGTGACTACAGAATGAAATTAGGCAGAAAAGATGATAACTTATTTTTTGAAATTGTAATTAAAACTTACTTGAAAAAGACCTGTCTAATAGATACCAAAAAGTCCTGTTTTAAAAATTAAATCCAAAATGCAGGAGAAATCGTTCTCTGTGAATCATAGTCCTAGTGATAAAAAAATTAAAATAACCCAGAGCCAGTAGATGCTCTTGTTGCTGAAGAATATTTCCTATTTCTGGAATATATCAAATTCCTATCTTGATAGTAAAGCATTACTTCTGTTCTAATAAGGTAAATGACATGAATTTTCTCCTATTCTAGTTTTAAGTATCCAAAAGGGCAATCTCTAACATAACTTCATATTCTCTTTTGATGATTATGTTGATGCAGGATAGCAAATCTGCATGGTAAAAGTGATGTCATTCCCTAACATGTGTATGACTGGTCCATTTACTTGGTTGAAATGTCAATGATATTCATGGCATAGGAATTCCAATATATGATGGCCTGGGCTTTATATTTTCCTACTTCCCTTTATGCTCATTTCCCTGAGGTTTTCAATGTAAGCATGTCTGTAGTTTTTCTAACATCTTTACATATTCATACACACATGAGTAAATATTTTTCAACCAAAATGAAATCATTGTACATGCACTGCAATGCAACTTACATTTATTTAAGCTTAATATATTACAGAACATTGGTCATTGAAATCACTTGTGGACTAGAGGTGGTGAATGGAAGTGGAATTCTTGGAAGTCTGTTTTTGTTTTTATCCCAACAAAGCTGGATAAGTTGGAGATCAAGTGGTTTTAAAGCCAAAATCACCTTAAATATGTAATCTGCTACTAAATGTATATATACCAAAGTCTGTGAAAACAGGCTGAGAAGTGAAATTATTTTAAAATTCTTGATTTCTTTCCTACTTCTGTTCCAAAACTCATTAATCTTAAAAACAAAAACCAAGGAAACCATAAAGTGCAACTCAAAACCCAGTAATAAAACCAACCGAAAGCCACCAAGTAGTCTGGGTATTTTATTCAGGATCTAAGGAGAGGCTGGCTGGGCTTTATAACTAAAGTCCCTGTGCAGTAAAGGCGATATCTGTAGGTATAGGTATTGCCTTCACTGAGCAGGAGATCTTGTAAAAGAGACCTACTTTACTGAAGGTGGAAATTGCACATCCTCAATTCCTTTCTAAAATGTATTTTGGGGTCTGGGAGGGTGGCTTAGTGGTGGAGTGCTTACCTGGGCTCTATTCCTCAATACCCCATACACAGAAAAAGCCAGAAGTGGTTCTGTGGCTCAAGTGGTAGAGTGTTAGCCTTGAGCAAAAGCAGGTTAAGGACAGTGCCAAGGCCCTGAGTTCAAGCCCCAGGACTGGCTGAATAAATAAATAAATGAACAAACTAAATAAAAATGTATTTATATCTGTGGGAATGTTAATCTATACTGTTCAAGATTTTACTATGTTTAAAAATATATGAAAAGAGTCAGGATCTGGTGGCTTACACCTATAATCCTAGCTACTCAGGAGGCTGAGACCTGAGGATAGTGGTTTGAAGCCAGCCTGGGCAGGAAAGTCCATGAGATTTTATTTCCAATTAGCTATCAAGTAAAGTTTGAAGTGGAGCTATGATAGAGTGGTAGAGTGCTAGCCTTGAGCAAACAACAAAAAAAAAAAAAAACAAAAAACAAAAAACAAAACTCAGAGACAGCATCCAGGCCCTGAGTTCAAACCCTGAGTTCAGTTCCCAGGACTAGCACAAAAAAGAAAGTATCTTTGCAGATTGGACTCTAAAATGTTAGTCTTTCTAGTATTTTGTTTATAATGTGGGCAAATTGCTTTTACCTTCTTGTATTGCATTTTCTTAACAAAGTCTCAAGTTATTTTAGATAATGAGATAAAAATTTAGTCATTAGCATTTGAGTTAATTAACGTATTTCTGGCAAGTGACTCCTTTCAATTAGATTAAAAATTATTTTTAACATGATATCAGTTTCATCTGACTTCCTATTTTTAGAACAAAACCAGGGGAGATAGAAGTTATTCCTGGGGGGAAAAATAAGATGAGTGGGGAGAGGGGGCATTTGAAAGGTATTTACACACACTGTAGTCATCCAAACAGGCGAATTTTGGAAAAAGAGAGAGGTCAGGTAAAGCCATTTAGGTGTGACATTCTGTGAGTTAGTGGTATTATACCTGCAGCCAATAGGTTTGGAGAACTTTGAACTCTCTTCACAGATGTTAATGTAACAGACATGGCGGCACGTTTGCGAGCACACCCACCGCTATCTGGAAGCAAAAACACAATATAGCACAGGCCAAGGCAACAGAAAGCACATGCAATATCATGCATTTAAGTGAAATGTGCCAGATGTTCATGAGAAAGATGAAGTCAGAATTAGTAACCCTAAACTGCATCTGCACATCTCACCCCTATCCCAAAAGTAAAACCAGCAAAGGAAAACCAAAACAGAAGTCTGTCTTAGAAATAGATGTCAATACAAAAAAGAACAAACTATATTCAACACTCAATGGTTTCTTTGCAATGAAAACTCAGACATAGAACTCAAGTGTGTTTATACATTTGAATTTGATGCATGCCGAATCAATGAACAATGCCAGTAGCTTCTAGAGTAATATATCTTATCTATGTTTCAAGATTCAGAGCTATAGGAAAGTACACTTTGTACATACCATTTAGATTTTCTTGTTTTTTTTTTACCAATCAGATATTTGAATATAATCACAAATGAGTCACCTTGATTGAATTCATTATTGAAGTGAAAGTTATTAGCTAGTAGTTATTAGCTTAGTTATGATACATTTGATATACAAGATTCACATGAATGTAAATACTCCATGAATACGTATGAATCTTCATGTCTTCTAATAGATATGGAATTATTAGCTTATTCAAAATTAGGGACAGCATTATATATTACAGTATTGAATGACCTTCTGTTAAAACCAAATTTACTGCTTTTATACTTTTGAACAATATGAACTATGAATTGCATGTAAACCCAAACAAATTGCCAGGCACAATTTATGTACTGTGAGAAGGCTAGACTCCTAAATTTGGAAGACAAGACTCCCGAAACTGAAAGGTTACTGTTCTATTTATGAGCAGTTTCCAATTCCATTCCCACATTCCTTTGTAATACAACATGGGCAAGAAATAGTTCCCCTCATTCCCTTCATTTTGCTCAGCTCATTTTGCTGATACTCTTTGAAGATATTTTTTAAGGACTCAAAGACAAATCATATATTCACAAATATGATAATATAATCATTACTTATTGTCACTTGCTGTCCCTGTTTGTTCTTTGCTTTTACTTTACAGGAAAACTACCTAGTTTGTTTTTTTAGACATGAGCAAATTGAAATTAGCAAAGACACTTGGAAGTATGATTTGAATTAATTATACTTAAATTCACAAATATGTTGCTAAATCTTAGAATTGGTGGAATTATTTTTATATTAAAATAACTTAAACTTTGTTTAACATGGTAATTTCTTAATACTAAAAGTAATTAAAACAGAAAGTTGATTTGAAACATTAAGTAAAATAAGCCAAATGATTCAACCACAGTAAGAATAAAAAGAGAAAGATACAAAGGGTAGAAATCTACAACTGACTTCTCCAAGAGAGGTACCAGTAGGATTCTGGCAAACTTGACAAATTGAAAATAGCCATGAGAGACAACTGTGCATGCTAAACTGAGGGAATGCTTTTGAACAGTGGTGCTTAGTAGGTCCTGACTGATCTAAGATCGCTGAGTAACAAGGGTGAGGAAAAGCTGACATCACTCTCAATGATTTCATTTTCTGTTTCTACAACTCTGAGCATGACAAGGTCCACAACCATTGTTTAAATGTTATGGGGATTGAAGTACAGGCTGAGATTCTCTGGACTACCTCTGTGAGTCCACAGGAGGCTGGGTATACTGCTGATTGTTGGGAAAGCAGTGGTTATCCATAGTGTACTTCATGACCCATTTAGGGGCTTGAAGTGGGTCATGGTCCCACATCATGGATAAATCTCTACTCCTTTGAATGACATGGCACCTCGGTTAAAGTGGATTTTTGGTGGTTGCTATATTAAAAAAATGATGACACTGCAAAAGTCATTTCATACATTTAAACAGACATTGTCACGTACAATTCTACATCTTGTAAAGTTTTTCAATGCTCAGCAGGCATATACATACCATTCACAAGTAATGATGGCTATACAGAATGAAAGAAAACAACTATATTTCCTTCAACTTACATGTATTGTTTTGTGGAATGGTTTCTTAAGTTGTTAGAACATAAATGCTTATTAAGTGATTATTTGGAGCTTAAGTTGTTTGTATCAAACTATTTAATAACCAGAGATTTTTTCATTTAGTGTGAAACACTATCAGAAAAATTACGGAGACACTGCCATTGTAAGCCAAGGAAGTTTGGGGAACTTTGGGTTAAGCATGTCTTGTGTTTTAGGAAGCTCTATGATACAGATCAAGTAAACAGAGAATTTGTTTTATTAATATTTAGTAAAGAGCTTATTTCAAAAAGTTGAGATATTGGTGAAAAGTTTTGTAATTGGTAGAAGAGAGAAATATATTTTGTTCTGTTTCAACTAGCACTGATAGCTTGCTGATATTCTTTGAAAATAAGAATAGTCTTTTGGTCATCTTGAGGAATCCTAATGCTCTTCTCCCACTCCTTCTCATTCAGGACTGACAGCCTATTAATCTTGCTTCTGGGCAGCCTGATAAAATAAATGGCGAGGTATAAAAGAATATCTTCAGCTATTGTTTTTGCCTTGTACAGGAGGAACTGGCTAACACAACTGTTTCACAAGTACTTGATAGGAAATAGCGTTGTTTAAAAAGAAGTGACAGAATTTCAATGAGTACATTATTTTCCTGAGTTACTTAATACTGTGCAAAGAAGTGGGGGGAGGGGAAGAAGGGAGAAAAGGTGAAATTATAAACCAAAATATTTCTACTGTGGAACAAAACTTATACTTTGTATGTACATGCAGATATCAAAACAGTTTTGCAATTAAAATGTATACAACAGAATTCAGAGGTATGAATGTTAAACTAATTAAAAACATTTAAAATACTCATAGCTGAACTACATTGAGAATTTGAATTAATTAAAATGCTTTTTCTATGAAGCTTTAGCATTCTATCTGCTGACTGGGAAAGTTAAAATATTATTCACTGGAGCAACATACCTTTGAACTTAGCCTGTTTTAAGTAAAGAGATTTTTAGCATCTATAAGTCAATTTCAAAACATGACTACAGAAAAAGGGAGCAAAATATTCTTATTTTCATGGCTACGAAATTGGAATATAAAGACAATGAAATAAACTAATGCATTTAACAATCTACTCAGAAACATTACATTTAGGATTAGCAGGTGCTAAGCTAATGATTTAGGGCAAAACTTATTTTTAGAGAGCAAAGCTAAGAAGTCCAAAACTAAGAGAGATAGCATACCTGTATTCATTTTGACCGTGGAGGGTTTGTTATTAAAATCTTCAGTTTTCCTGTAAGGGAAAAAATGATGCATAATTTGTTGACTACAATATGGATATAAAAAGACTTTTATTCTTGGTATACCTATAAATTATTATTGACTATTATTTAGACTCAGTTTAATAAGAGGGGCTCTACTGACGTTAAATTCAATTATTCCTGATCTTATGATCATAAACATATTTTTTAAAAATAATGACCATTAATGAATAAAAATGAAAAGCTTCCTTCCTTCCTTCTTCCTCCTCCTCCAGCCCTCTGTTCCATGCTATCTGACAATCCTCCTTTCCCCATGTCCTATGCTAGGGATTGAACTGAGGTCCTCATACACACTAGGCAAGCACTGTACCACACAGTTATAAACATAGCCCAAATTTTCACTTTTAAAAATTAAATTCTGTGCCTAACATGCATGAGGCTATGGGCTCCAACTCCAGCATCACAAAATAAAAAGAAAAATCTTATTTTTGTATAAACATTCTTATCAGTTTTTGTTCTTTAAGCCTGAAGTAATCATTGTAGTAACGTATTTTCTACCAAAACTGTAAAACGTACACTGGTGCTTTGAAGTCAATGCCTTACACTTATGGATTAATTTCACAGTCCAATTTGCTTTAAAAAGTGATTGAGGGAACTATTATTAGGATACTTTTATTTTTTGTTTTTTTTTCAGTGTATAAATACATAGGAATATGTGTGGGTTTATTTTGTTGTTGTTATAATTTGACTTTTTTCCAGAGTCTGAACTTGTTCTAAAATCTGGACTCAGTAACCCCTGGCCTGTATGGAAAGGATACAATGAAGAAAAGAAGGTTGGGTAGGGGGAGGGTAGAATGAAGCTTCCTGAAAGTTCCTTCAAATCATTTATTTCAACTTCTGAGTAGCAACACTCCTAATGTATTAACCTTACATGGAGAAAATACATTGGAAAGTGTCTCAGGGGATGACTGTGACCAAGGCCAAGGCCAAAGCCAAATGACTTCTAAAACAGGAGGGGATAAATAGGACTATAAAGACATTTCCCAAATTCTACTTGGCCATTCCTTGTGGAACTCGGAAACACTTGCTGCTTAAAACTGAATTCCAAAGACAGAATTTGCACTAGAGTAATTCTGATTGATCAGGAAAACACCCAATACATAAAGAAAGTTAACATGGGAATCACAAAATGTGCTAATGTATCAGACCATGTTTGTAGTTTAATTCAAACACACATATACATTTACAAAACATCTGAAGCTCAAAATAAATCAAATAACATGAGCTAAATAAAGTAAGGCATCACAAACCCTTGAGCTTTTCATTTTTAAAACGATGTATCCTGTTTCTTATTGGGTAATTTGTGAGGTCTTCAAACTTGGCATTGTTTTAGATGTCAAAATGTAAAACGACTAACTTCCTAATCAAGCAAGACATTTTCTAGTTTGTTAAAGGAAGAGTTGTGGTGACTGAACTCTTAAGAAGAACCTGAAACCCATAGGCCTCTTGGGTAACTAATAAAAAATTGTGATTTTGTTTCCCCTGTTTGTACTAAGGCCATTAACAAATCCACGAATGAGAGAATGTCTTAGACAATTTAAACTAAGGCAAATAGGATTTCTTTTGTTCTGTTCTGCAAAAATGTCTTTGATTGTCCTCATATAACAAATACAGGGTATCCTGGAAGGCATCGAGTTCCTAGAGTGTTTGCATGATACTGAAAGACAGCATTTCAGTATTCTCTTGAGTCAGGATTGAAGCAGAGCCAAAGCTTTGACAATACAGATTATAAAATGCAGACGACTCTGAACCCACAAAGCAAAACAATCCTTTGTACATTAGGGTATCTGAATGGTTTTCCCCAGGTTGTGTGAGGCCAGATTTACTTTAGTTCATTCAGGATAGCATTTATGCAGAAAGCAACATTATATGTATTCTAATATGTATATGGCAATGGTTATGTTTTACTAAATGGTTGGATTAACCTTTATCTCAAAAAGCAGCTGGCAATAGATTGTTCTAGTGGTTCATGGGGGGACAGCAACACAACGTCTACCATCTTTTGATTTTTCTTAAAAATTTTCCCCATTGCCAGATATCTTGTTATTTTGTAGATAGCAGTTCCTTCAAATCATGTATTTCAATCTCTCAGTAGCAACACACCTAATATATTAGCCTAAAATGGAGAAAATACATGGGAGACACATGCACTGTACATGGGAGAAGAGACTGAGTGATTTAACTTTTCAGTGAAGTTAGATGGTTGTGCCTTGGTATCAACATGCCCAAGGATGTAATTTTACTTAGATTCTCTCTCTCTCTCTCTCTCTCTCTCTCTCTCTCTCTCTCTGTGTGTCAGTTATCAGGTGTCATCTGGGAGTAAAGAGTTGAAACAAAGCCTTTCTATAGTTGTGGTCAAGAATCCTGTGTAGCTTTTGGGCATTTACCCAAATGTTTACAAACAAGACCACACTAAAGCTACCAGCACAACTATGTTTATTGCAGCATTATTTACCATAGCTAAGATCTGGAACCCAGATGCCCCTCAGTAGATGAATGGATCAAGAAAATGTGGTATATATACACAATGGAATTCTATGCCTCCATCAGAAAGAATGACATTGCCCCATTTGTTAGGAAATGGAAAAACTTGGAAAAAATTATATTAAGTGAAGTAAGCCAGGCCCAAAGAAACATAGGTTCCATGGTTTCCCTTATTTGCAATATCTAGTATATGTATGAGTCAAGCGGAAAAGGTCAGATAATGTGATGTTAGGAAAATGAACCCTTAGATATGTATTTTAATGTTTTTTTCTTTCATGCATGTGTTTCTAACGCATTTATTTTTATTTTTTTTTGGTCCGGTCGTGGAGCCTGAACTCTGGGCCTGGGTGCTGTCCCTCAGCTCTTCAGCTCAAGGCTAGTGCTCTACCACTTGAGCCACAGCACCACTTCCGGCTTTTTTTCCCCTTTTTTCATATGTGGTGCTGAGGAATCGAACACAGGGCCTCAGGCATGCAAGGCAAGCGCTCTACCACTGAGCCACCTTCCCAGCCCTTCTAATGCATTTATAAGATTATTTCTTTGTTGCTTTGTATGTCCCTTGCCCACAGTATAACCCCTGCTTTCACTATATTTGATGTCAGTATAACTTGTGGAGGAGATGGGGAAAAACAAGTCGTTTAAGGATACAGGTGGACCTGTTGCAACACTGAGAAGTACAAGTTGTCCAAAACGAGCTTTACAACGTTGGTGCAGGGGAGGGGGTGAGGGGGAGGAGAAGGATTGGGATTGGGGGGGGAGGGGGGAGGCTGGGAAGGGATGTGAAGGGTAAACAAAGGAGGAGGCTGCAATGCTTGGTAAGAAATGTACGCATTATCCTGCCCATGTAATTGTAACCCCTCTGTACAGTATGCTCACAAATAAAATTAAATTAAATTAAAAAAAAAAGAATCCTGTGTAGGTCATTTATTTGTATCAAGCTGAGTTTAAGCATCAAAGCCATTAATAAAACCAAAGAATTAACTTGGAGCTGAAATTCAATGTGAAGAGTTGACACAAAAGCATTTCCTATTCAATAATTTTTGATCCAATAAATTGATATGGTTGTTTTGGGGCTAATCTATTGTCAGCTTATATATTATTTAGAAGAAAGAACATACAGTCTTAAGTGGTGGGAAAGTATTGCAATATATGATTGTTTTGAGGTATATTTTAAATATAAGGATATTTCAAAATAGGATACACATTAAGATAACCTGAATATGCATTCTTTTGAAATGAGAGAATTTCTGGTTAAACTGTTCTAAGTGTCAATGCATTTCTCTTTCTGTGTCTGATTGTGGTAAGATGAGAAAAAAGTTGAAGGAGTTCACTTTTCAATTAAACTCCAATGACTTAATTCAAGTTGACATTTATCTTTACTTATCTTTTTTGAGTGTGTCAAATATTTACTGGGAAATTCCAAGTAGTTCATTTTGTCTTTTAGAGTCCAAGTTTAGAAACGTAAAAGCGACCTCAACCTCATTTCTAAGTACTTTCTTTAATTTAGTGTCCTGTTGTGTAATGCCAAGTCAGGGCCTCTTCTGTCTCCAAGAGGGTGGTAGAGACTCATCACCTTCAATAGCAAGGCCATGGTTGCCCATGCTCAGAAGAACACAACATCCCTTGCATCATTCTTAAGCTAATGGCTCTCGAATGTAGGCCTGGAGTATTTACAGCCAAATTATACACAGTATTTATGAGTGTATACAGAGGTCAGAACTGATCCAACATCATTTCTAAGAAGGAGGAATAGTTATTATCACAAGATACAAAGGAAGATAAAAAGGCAGGCAACCATTGATTATTTTAATCATACTAAGTTTTCTGATACCTAGAAAAATTTTCTGATTAAAAGAAGACTGTATGACTTTCATGGAAACTTGAAACTTTCAAATCTTTACAATGCAAGTTGCTCAAAATATGGAATTTTTTCCTTCAAGACATTGATTAGAAGCAGATCTTCTGATAGATGACTCTTTCTGGTGTCTTTCCAAAGCCTCAAGCTCAAAGAACCCTCAATTTAGAAGCACTCAAAATGGATGTTGATTTTTGTTTTGCTGTAAATAGTCATGTGATTTCATATTGCTCCAGCATCCTACTTTCCCTGCAGATAATTAAAGGATGCCTGCAAATACTTACAAGTGCATCTTCTTTATTCTGAGACAAAGTTGTTAGATTGAATCATAGCAGGAAAATGGTATGGGCGTATATGACGTAAATCAAAAGCCAACTGGATTCTAATGAAATGAAACAAGGTCCCCAAGGGGCATGTGGTGAGTGACACATTGTGAAAGAGACATGCATGCCGTCAGTGAGAAGGATGGATTTAGAAGGATGGATGCATGGTTTGGAAATGGCTTGAGTGTGCTTCCCCAAAGCTTCTTGTATTGGAAGTTAATCTCTGCCTGGAGACATTAAGACAGTGGACACTTAACCCAATATTTAGAGGCAGAACCTTTGGGAATTGATTAGGATTAGACAAGG